ACTTTTTTCCAATGTGTACGTTTGTACGTAGGAAAAAAAATTAAAAACATTTTCTACTAAGCAAAACACACAGCAAAAGCTGTTTGTTTGTTCAATTAAACTAAATATTTTGATGGATTTCAAGATATGAGATGTTGAGTGTTGAGCTTTGACTTATATGAGTACCATATAACTATTTATTTATTTATTTATTTATTTATTTATTTAAGCTTCATTGTTAAACCTTAAGCTAAAGGCTACAATGGGTGGACTTAATGCCTAATGGCATTCTCTACCAGTCAACCCTTGTCATGGTGAAAAGTAGATGGTAGGTGCTAAATGAAACTATAAAAATTTAAGTTAATAAATGTGCCATAAAATGTAACATATACATATGTACATAAATAAATATATAGATACATACATATAAATATATATATATATATAAATAGACATAAATACAAAAATAAATACATATACGGATTGGTCGCGCCAATAATGGTAGGTTTCTTCGATAGAATTTAGTGGACTGTATTGGTACATACAATAAGCAGAGCTAGGAAGGTGGGCGAGATGCACGTACTAACCTTGCGGCGGCAGCCAAGCGCTCGCGCTCCCTGGGATGCAGCCAACACCGGCGGGCACGCCACGTAGTTCGGTACACGCACTTTGCAGTGTTCAATAAGTTCCTGGATAGCCACACTCCACACTCTCGACTTATCGTAATCGCGGAAGGGCGCGACACATCAATAGGGAGCGTTACTAGGACTCAATGTCCGGGATAATTAAAATATAACGAGGAGCGCAATGTCACTCGTGCGGTTGCGGGATAACGACTTTTTTTAAACTATCGCCGCCGCGCGGCGCTGGCGACGCCTTAGGCGGCAGTACGTGCAATAGGATGAATAAGGTAAGGGAAGGGTAATGGATGTATGTACCATATATTAATTTAATTATTAAATTATGCTTAATTGGCGTAACCATTTCCTCCCGCCCTTAAAGGGTCACCTTTAAAGACAACCATAAGATAAACATACTTAAAGTAGAATAGAGTAAAGATAGCGCGCATTGCGCATTATTGAACATACTTATTATACGATAGAAATACATATAATATTAGTAATATTGCGGTTTGACTTATTTTAATATGTTTAAACTAACTTATCTGTTACTATCTTAATATATAAGAAGGTAAGTGTGATTGATGCGGTTAAAATATTGGTTCGGGAGAGGACAAATACGAATAACAGGACGAAGGTAAGTCCCCTTAGCGGTTCTCACGGTTACTACACGAGCTATACCATCCTTTGAAGGATGAACTGACTCGACAATTGCTAATGGCCAAGCTAGGGGTGGTACGTTATCGTTAATCACAACCACGACGGTACCTGGAGTGATAGGCGCAGACAATGTATTCCACTTTTGCCTAACTTGTAACCCGTGTAGATATTCCATCCTCCACCGATTCCAAAACGACTGGACTAACTTATCCAGCAAAGAATGTCTGTGAAGCAGACTGACTTGGTCGGATTCTACTTCAGTTGCGGGTAAAGATAATAAAGGTGCGGTGTTTAAAAAATGGCTCGGAGTAAGAGCTGTAGGCTCTGCGGGATCAGAACTTAATACTGTTAGCGGCCGCGAGTTAAGCACGCATTCGATTTGCGTAAGTACAGTATTAAGCTCTTCATACGAAAGTAACTGTTGTCCAATAACTCTGAACAAATGCGTTTTAATGACTTTCACCATACTCTCCCAGACGCCTCCAAAATGAGGGGAATTGGGACAAATAAACTTCCATGTAATGCGGCTTTCGGCGCACTCCTGTTCGAGCTTTGGGCGATATTCTAGGTTTATAAACTTATAAAGATCGCGAAGATACGAAGCGGCGCCTTTAAAGTTCGTTCCGTTATCTGAATATAAAAACTGAATTGGGCCTCTTCTGGAGAGGAAACGTTTCAGCGCGGATAGGAAACTAGGAGTACTTAGATCTGTAGTGACTTCAATATGGACGGCCCGAGTTGTAAGGCACGTGAAAATACATAAATACGCCCTTTCACTTCGTATACCGCGTCGGCGTACAGGAGTGTATGCGATGGGACCGGCATAATCGCAACCCGTATGGGTAAACGCCTTAACGACTTGACATGTACGACTTTGGGGTAGATCAGCCATCAATGGGTAGGTCGGACGCGGTCTAAGCCGAAAACATATATTGCACTTGTGGACTCTTTGCCTCACAGTGCTGCGTGCGGATAGGATCCAGAATTTTTGACGAAGTAGCGACATCAGCAATTCAGGCCCGGCATGTAAATGTTTAATATGATAATAATCAATGATCATGTTCACTACATGATCACTGCGCGGTAATATAGCGGGATACTTATGACTGTAATCTAATACGGAATTGGAAAGACGACCACCTACACGGATCAGACCGTTGTCTATGAATGGTCTTAAACGATTAAAAGCGGGTGAGCAAGGTTTACAATTTTTAATATTTATATATTCTGCTGCAAAATATTTATTTTGCACAGCGCGGAGAATTAAAATCTCAGCGAAACTGAGATCATCAGCAGTCACTGCAGTAGTGCTGCGGCGGGGCAGTAACTTGGCGAACCTACATACGTAAACAATTATACGTAGAAGTTTACTCCAAGAAGAGATGCGGAGAGCGAGTTCATATAATGTACATTTATCAACAGATGTGCACACAATGTGCGACAATATCCTTTTCTCAGGAATGTCTGCAATAATCTCTTCACCTAACGTTCGAAGTGGCCACTGAGACGGATCTAAAGAAGTCCACTGAGGCCCATGAAGCCACAGAGGGTGTGAAATTAACTTATGTGGTGTAATACCACGCGAGAGGATGTCAGCGGGATTCTCGGTGCCAGCGACATGGTAAAAGCTATCAGCGGGAATATTGTCTGTAATTTGAACAACGCGATTTGCAACAAATGTTTGCCACTTGTGAGGCGAACTTCTTATCCAGTACAGAACGACCTTTGAATCTACAAAGGCGTAGACTGATATTGGGTAACCAAGAGAGTAGTTGTCGAGGACTCTGCGAAGCAATTTTGACAATAAAACTGCTCCACAAAGTTCGAGGCGAGCGATGGATAGTGGCTTTGTTGGCGCAACTTTAGTCTTAGCACAGACCAACCGAACGGTATTACCATTGATCACATTTACGTGTAGGTATACAACGGCACCGTATGCATGTTCACTGGCATCGGAAAAACCCATGAGGGTGACAATACAATTTTTAGTGACACCAACATGTCGTGGGATACGTAAATTATTGAGATCTGGTAATTCAGCACAAAACTGCTTCCACATCTTAATGATGGGCGGCGGCGGTACATCGTCCCAGTCTAAATTAAGTTGCCAAAGCTGTTTTATTAACAACTTAGCGTACACGACTGTGGGAGCAACGAAACCCATTATGTCCCACAGGCGGGCGACAGTAGATAAGATGGAGCGCTTAGTGCACGTCACATCATCGGGAATAGATATTTTAAAATAGAATTCGTCACTATCGGTAGACCAATGCAAGCCTAATATCTTATGCTGCATCGATTTATCGAACTCCACTTCCTTTGTAATTTTATGAGAAGCAGGGAGGTTATCTAAAACGGATTGATAGTTGCTATTCCATTTTATAAGATCCCATTGTGCACCCTTGAATAAGTCAATCAGCTGCTGAGAGGCTTCACTGGCTTCGGACTCACTAGGCAAGGAGAAAGCGACATCATCCATGTATAGTGAGGTAGATGCGATACGACTCGCTAGTGGATACATCGCGCCGTCGTCATCGATAAGCTGTCTCACCGTGCGCAGTGCATGGTAAGGACTAGATGTTAAACCGAAGCATACGCGATTGAACTGGTACAGCACAAGTGGATCATGTGGATTGAAGCGGTATAGAAAACATTGATAACGACGATCAGAATCACGAATAACGATCTGCAAGAATTGCTGGCGACAGTCGGCTGTCATAGCCACTGGATGTAAACGGAAATTTAAAATAATGTTGAATAAATCGCCTTGCAAATTCTGCCCTGAGTGCAAGACGTCGTTTAGCGATCGGCCAGTGCTAGTCTTACTGCTAGCATCTAGGACAATGCGCAGACGAGTCGACTTCTTGTCTTCACGTAAGACTCCGTGATGCGGGATAACATAGAATGGAGTGATTTCACGAGAGTCATATAGCGGTGCGGGTGAAATATAATCCTTGGCTAAATATTCCTTTATGACGTCATCATATGCCAACCTTAATGTAGGTGAAGCTTCTAACTTTCTTTCCAAGCACATGAATCGTCGTCGAGCAGTCTCGTAAGAATCTCCAAGAGAATAAACGTCGTCTTTAAATGGCAAACCAACAATGTATCTGCCACTAACAGGATCGCGTGATGTCGTCGAATTATAAAACTCTTCACATTCAATGTCAGAAGGACACTGAATGGGCGGCGCGGAAGGAGGCTGTTCAAGCTCCCAAAAACGTTGCACTAATTTTTCAATATAAGGAGACTCTTGAACTATACAACAAGTTAATGACTTACTCATTTGCAGTGTCGGTACGGAACCCATAATGACGTAACCAAGCACCGTGCGTATTGCTGCGGGCCCAGAGGAATCATAAGAACGAATTACGCCAGGACATAGCAAGTGTGGGAAAAGAGATGCACCTATCAATGCATCTATTTTATTAGGCACGCCGTAATATTCATCGGCGAGCTGTAAGCCATGAAACTGTTTTAGCACAGATGAGTCTACTAAAGAGGTGGGCATTTCGTCGGTGATTTGATCGACCACCAGCGGTGAAATATGATAATTAATATTTTGGTCAAAGCGGGAGAATATATTAATATTAATAGATTTTGTTTTAACGATTTTTTCTACACCGCCGAATCCCTTTATTGTAGTACATTCGGCGTCATGAACCGGAATTCCTAAGCGGTGACAACATTCCTTAGTAATAAAATGACTTTGAGATGCTGAGTCTAATAACACACGAATTATTTGTTTATCTCCCCGAGCGTCGTATGTAAGGACTTGAGCGGTTGAGAGTAATACGGTACTCCGCGCATCGTTCGCACGCGCAGAAGGCGACGATTGTTGCGAAACGTTCGCAAACGAAGTACATAGAGCGACGTCCGAACGCGCACCCGAGTTGAGAGGTGGCGATTTAACGCGCGCGGTATGAGCGGGTGGCGCAGAATTAAGTACAGGTTGCTGAGGCGACAGAGCGTGCGCCGGCGCAGAGGATGAACTATCGCTTCCACGCTGGAAGTGCAGCAATGTGTGATGTTTACGCTTACAAACTCGACAGGTATAATTTGATGAGCAGCCAGATACTCGATGGCTTAAACTGAGACAGTTAACACATGCATTGTTACTCTTCACGCAAGTAAATCGTTCCTGCGGTGTCATTTTATTAAACTGCGGACACTTAAATAAGTGTTGATGCACAATGTTATTACACAAACATTTGTTAGAACAACTAGTCGTCGTACTAACGTAAGTCTGATACTTCGGCGACGAAGTATTGTTACAGCGGCGGTTACTATTATTGTTTCGACGAATATTCGTTATACTATTTGAATTTATACAAGTGTCGGTTCGTTGCAGAACTTTAGCGCGGGTTTTAATAAAATTAACAAAGTCCTCAAATGTAGGAATCGATGAGCTATGATTTAATTCGAAAGTGCGAATAGTATCCGAATCGAGCTTCTTAAGGGCAATATGAAGAACGATCAAATCCGCTAGATTGTCTAACTTTAAGTTTTGTAAAGCGCGCACTGCACTAATAAAGTTATCAGTAAATAAATCAAAATCATTAGCGGAAGCCGAAAGCAATGGTTTGAATTCGAACATCTGATTTATATAAGCGGAGGCTAGCATACGTTTGTCTTCGTATTTATCGATAAGTGCTTGCAATAAAATTTTATAATTTTCAGCGCATGGAGTTATGCCTGAACATACAGAGAGAGCCTTGCCAGTCAGCTTACCTAATAAATAATATAACTTTTCAGCGTCGGTGAGCGATGGATTATCGTGAACAGTGGATTTGAAGCTGGTATAAAACAAAGGCCATGAGCGAATATCACCCGAAAATGTCATTAATTCGATAGGCGGAAGTGCAATGCTAGTTTTAGATAAAACATTATTATTATTCTGTAAATTACTAGTTTGGGAATATTGTAAACGAAGTCGACTTATTCTTCCGTAAAGTGACTCAAACGTAATAAGACTGTTATAATCGGGCTTCGCGATAGGATTTATTTTTAATAAATGAGTGTTATAACTATCTAAAGTCTGTTTAAATTCAATACGTAATGCATCGATATTAGAACTTTCGTCAAGAAAACGTTCCAACATCAAAGTATTTGTATCAATGTTCGTAGACATGTCATATATTTTTTGCACTATTTCAAATATGGCATCGCGTTTGGCTAACAATAAAACTAACGCGGCGTCAGGTGTACCCTCATTATCCGAGGAATCACTTTTATTCGATGCAAGTTGTTTCTTTGGCGGCATTATAGCTAAAGTTATGCTACTAAATAAAGTTGAAAGTAAACGAAGCGTGATTTACGTACAAGTGCACGACTTCGCTATGCGATCGGATAATACGCAGTTAGAAATATTTGTTAATATTAACCAATAGCAATGTAATATTAGTATGAAACTTAAGGGATATTTAAATACGAATATACGGAATATATATGTATGTAAATAAATCCAAGAATAAACTGTATGGTTTATAAATTATGAAATATATAAGCGGAATTGTTCAACAAGTTAGATGACGCAATGTCATTCAAATGAAAGGTTTAAAATTAAGATAATTGGTTAGTAATTATATAATGTTATACTAATATCACTTATTAGGGCCTATCTTAAGTATCCTAATAAGGGCGGAAGTTCTGCGGTTCGGTGGACCAAATATAAAATGCGGCTCGCTAGGACCACTAAAATGATGGTCGCGCCAATAATGGTAGGTTTCTTCGATAGAATTTAGTGGACTGTATTGGTACATACAATAAGCAGAGCTAGGAAGGTGGGCGAGATGCACGTACTAACCTTGCGGCGGCAGCCAAGCGCTCGCGCTCCCTGGGATGCAGCCAACACCGGCGGGCACGCCACGTAGTTCGGTACACGCACTTTGCAGTGTTCAATAAGTTCCTGGATAGCCACACTCCACACTCTCGACTTATCGTAATCGCGGAAGGGCGCGACACATCAATAGGGAGCGTTACTAGGACTCAATGTCCGGGATAATTAAAATATAACGAGGAGCGCAATGTCACTCGTGCGGTTGCGGGATAACGACTTTTTTTAAACTATCGCCGCCGCGCGGCGCTGGCGACGCCTTAGGCGGCAGTACGTGCAATAGGATGAATAAGGTAAGGGAAGGGTAATGGATGTATGTACCATATATTAATTTAATTATTAAATTATGCTTAATTGGCGTAACCACGGATAATAAAAACACAAATGGACTAAGTGATACAAAGTCAATGATTTAACAAGTATTCTCGAATTGATTTTTTGAACATATACTTGGAGCTGTTTTGATCTTATAGGGAAGGGCGTTCCAGAGGAGTGTAGCTTGAACGGTAAAAGAGGAGTTAAAGTATCCTGTATTATGTTGAGGAATGTGAATCTTAAGTTGGTTGATGGAACGAGATACTCTGTCAGGGTCAGAGTGAAGGTAATGGAAGGTATCCTTAAGGTAAGAAGGAGAATTAGGATTAAATAATACAGAATACAATGTTAATAGAATTCTAGAGCTGCGCCTCTGTTGAATGGAAAGCCAGTTAAGCTTGCGACGGTAGGAAGATACATGGTCATATTTGCGTAAACCGTAAAATAAATCTAATGCAGCTATTAAGAAGACGCTCCAATTTTTCGAGACGAGATTGGGATAGGTCCGGATAACACACATCAGCATAGTCGATAATGGGCAAAATTAGTGATTGAACAAGCAGAAGCTTAGTTTTAAAGGGTACGAAATTTTTCAAACGGTAGAGAGAACGTAAGGTACCAATAACTTTCCGGCTGACTTCGGCAATCTGCGTTTCCCAACTAAATGACTGGTCCAAATGCAAGCCAAGATTTTTGACCGAGTCAGAAAACGGAATTAACGATCCATTATAAGAAATTGGGAGAAGGCTGCCATAATCAATCCTGGCAAGCATCCTTGGACCACCAATTATAATTGCTTTGCATTTAGATGCGTAAACAGTAATCCCAAACCTATGTGACCATCTTTAATAGATTCAAGATTGTCGTTAACAGTCATTAAACAGCTATTAAGATTTTTAATATCTGTTTGGACATAAAGCTGTAGATCGTCAGCATACAGATGGGACGAACAATTGAGTACTGAGGTGATAGAGTTAGTAAATAACGAAAACATAATTGGAGAAAGTATACCGCCTTGCGGCACCCCAGTATCAACATCCGCCCAGGCAGAACACTGCTGTCCTAAACGGACTGACTGTTGGCGACCGCGAAGATAAGAGGAAAACCAATCCAAAGCTGGGGTCGAAAATCTAAGGTAAGTAAGATAGGATCTAAGGATGTCGTGATCAACTGTGTTAAAAGCGTTAGAAAAGTCCACAAGCACCACCACTGTGACCTTTTGATCATCCATACCTTTTCTTATGTCATCAGTGACCTTGATAAGTGCAGTGGTAGTACTGTGGCCCGGACGAAACCCAGATTGATAAGCATTCAATAGGTTATGTTTGTTAATAAATACGGAGATTTGCTTATGAACACAGGCCTCAAGAACTTTAGAAAGAAATGGAAGAATAGAAATCGGACGAAAATGGTTAGGTAAAGAGGGATTTGGGATTTTGGGAAGTGGCAGGACAAAAGCCCTTTTCCACTGGGTTGGGTAATGACCAGAGTCCAAGGAAAAATTAATTAGGTGTGTAATTGCAGGTAAAAGGTACCCCAGTATCATTGTTATCATTTGCTTACTAACCTCGTCACTTCCCACAGCTTTGGATTTGATTGCTAATATAGTCTTTTTAACTTCATTGAGATTTACCGGTGTGAACTGAAAGTCTGGAATTTGAAGAGGTGGCAATTGACCAATAGAAGTGATTGTTTGAGAGCGTATTGTGGGGTCTATAGATGGTGTAGAGATAAAATGTTGGTTTATGTCATTCAAGGTTAATGAAGAGGCATGTTCTGATGGACTAGGTTTGGTAATCCCAAGAGACTTGAGAAATTTCCACACATCAGCGCTAGACGCATTACTAATATTTTCATGGATATAATGGCGTTTAGCGTTTCGTACCATCTGATTGCATCTGTTTCTAAGCAGTTTGAAATGAACCCAATTCTCTTCTGTACGTTCCCGTTTAAATTTTCCAAAAGCTCGATCCCGTCTCGCCATTGCCGCCCTAACACCTCTAGTCATCCACGGGGCAGGAGGACGCTTTACTCTTACAAGATGTGCAGGTGCATGTACATTAAACAAAGTTAGTACAATATTGTTTAGTTCCCAGACTTTATCATCAACAGTAGGCGCTGCTGTAAAAGAGGCAAAATCTTTGAGCGATGCGTCACTCCTGAGTTTGTCCAATTGGATTCTTGAAAAATTACGCAATTTTAAGAAAGTGGGAATAGGTTTAGGAGGGATAAGTTTGTAGGAAAAGTAAATTAAATCATGTAAGGAAAAGCTAGGAGCAGAAAGCTGACCGTGCTTTATGACTCGGTCAGGGGAAGCTGTAATAATGAGGTCAATCCACGAGTCATCAGTGTGAACATTGTGATGAGTAGCCGCTAAAGGCAGAATGTGGAGGTCGACTGACTCAATAATTGTGCGAAGTTTTTTGAGAACGAGACGTATTTCTTAACAAATCAGTGTTAAAATCACCCATTATCATGCAGTGCGTGTACCCGGAGCTAACCAAATCAAGAGCAGCTTCAAGACCGCTGAAATAATCAACAGTAGGAGGACAGTACACTACCCCTAGAATCGCCCTAATACCTGAAACGCAAATTTCAAGAAATAAAAATTTGGCGGAAGCTGAATAGGCAGATGGAGATGCTAGGACAATCTTATAAGAGATATTAGCCCTCAAGTATATAGCAACACCACCTTCTCAGTCCGGTCATTCCGAATAAGTACAAAGTCAGAAAGAGGATATAAACTGGTTATCAAGGAAGGTTTAAGCCAGCTCTCGGATACTAGAATCGCATGGATGTTGCTAGAAGAAAATGTATCTTCAAAGTCTGAAAAATGGCTTGGTATACTTTGCGCATTGATATGGCATACGTTAAACAATTTACTACAAGACGCGAAAGTACACGTAAGCCTGTCACGTAAAGACAGCAAGCTTTCATTCAAAAGATCACAAGAAGCAAACGAGGAATCTAAATCATCAGCAGAATAAAAAGAATCATTATCCGACATAACTTAAAAAAATATGAATAAATAATGATATTTTAATTAATAAGAGTTAATAAAATATACTATATATAAATATAATCAAGAATAAATTAAAAAATTAAAACCAGAGAACACTCTGTTATAATCTATGTGAAGCAGAGTGAAAACAATAACAAATATTATTTTACCTACTATGCACCATCCCAACAGTTGACAGTTTACAAGAGCTATGCGAATAGCAATCTTAATAATAAAAACACATGAGAGAAAAAAATGCATAAATATACTAATAAGTTAAGTCAAAATCAACCGTTAAATTAGAAAATTATACATATTACAAATCAAACAGAATATGCTAAAAACAGATAATAAGGCCGTATGGGTTAGGACCGTTGCCTACCAATAAAATAAATAAAGAAAAATACAACAATAGTTGTTTGTTTTGTCATTGTTGATATAAACAAAAGGAAAGATTAACAAAGTGAAAATATTACAATGAGATATTTAGATAAATGTACTTGAATGCTTATTATGAGTAATAGTGCTAAAAGACAATATATAATGTTTTCAATTAAGTTGTTAACAGTGACTAAAAACAGATAACCTAAAAAAAAAAATGGACATTGTTGTAAAAGTTAATATTAGAGAAGATGTTAACTATATATTATGTTGGGAAGCAATATATACAAATGTGAAGAAATTATACCAAGAAAAGAGTAACTTCACAGCTGCCACAGATTACTTTTTGGAGATAACACGACGAGTTTTCTTGTTATCACCATAAGTCAAGGCGGATGCTTCTTTTTTCCGCCTCTCCACTTCTTGCTGGCGACTGGCTTTAGGTGAGCTCCTGATGGAAGGCACATCATTAGTTGCGCCGCAAACCCCCTGCTGTGAACCACTAGCAGCGGCACTAGCTGGTGAGCACACAGGAGTCCATGCAGTAACAAGAGCACTAAAGTCTTCTTCTGGGGAAATCTTCTTACGACTACCATCAGGGAGCTTAATATAAATTCTTCCATCCAGAGTCCAAACATTTCTCATTCCAAAATGCTTACGAGCCATCTTATGAATGCTCTGACGCATTCTAGTAAGAAACTCAGACATAGTAAAGGGTGTATTCTTTAACTTTGACTTGGACTTCCAAACTTGTCTTTTGACACTGTAATCGCAGAAGTGAACTAAAACAGCTCTGCACCGGTCTCCAACAAGAGGTCCCAACCTATGACATCGCTTTATTGATGATCTACTCATGTTGGTAAGGCCAAGTTTATTGTGAAAGATGTCCAAGACTTGCTGCTCAACATTTGAATTGGGATCCTCGGATATTCCATTAAGCAACAAAATCTTTTGCCGATGCCTTGTTTCCATTTCATCAAGTGCATAAGAGCAACTTCTTACTTGCTGCTGCAGAAGACCAAGCATGTTACTTACCAAATCTTTAAATGCACAAAAGTCCTGATTGAGCTGTTGTAGAGTTGGATTGTTGCTTGTTGATGCAGGGACTAAAGCATCTTTTAGACGATTTTCAAACTCATCTTAGCCATCCAGCTAATTTCAAGCTCCTTATGCAGTTGATCAACATTGCTGAGATTAGCCATGTTAACTAGTAAAATGTGTTATGCCAATAAAGTGAACTTAGACTAGTAGTGACAGTGATGCTGTAGGGTGATGCAAGTAAGGTTTAATTCTTCTTACATAAGTAGATTTATAATATTAAAGTATAATAGCACTAATAAACAGGCTGATAATAGTAAAATTGTTTATAAATATTACTTTAAACTATTAATAATTGAATTAAATAGTTAAGAGCTTTTGAAACAGCTGTTACTTATTTCACACCTACCCCCATGAGTCTAATACTATAGTCTTCATAACTATATAAGGAATATAAATTATGGATATGGAAATATGGAAAAATAGAGGAATAGCTATTATTCACGTTATTACTTTTAATGTCGAATACGTAATTGTCTTGCCAAGTAGTTGGGCTGACTTAAAATATTGCCAACATTGAATTTTAGAAGTCAGATAGCATCATCACTAAAAGTTTAAATTCGACAGTAATAACTATTACTGTCGAATTTCAACTTTTAGTTAATATTAATACTTAATTGTAGAATTCAATAACTAAATAATGTTGGAACATTACTAACATCCATACTTCCATCCTCTGATTGTAATCTCTGAGTAGTAACTTACTACGAAATGATTATTATCTTGTATCTTGTATTAACTGATGTTTTTGCTTTCAGTCCCGAGACTATTAAAGCTTCATCTGACGCAGAACCGGTGGGCTAGCCAGAACCCACGGGTTTAGGCCCTCCGCTGTGGGTAGGGCCGCGCATGTGCTCATGCGTGCGTTTAACTACGACATGTCGTCTAAGGGCCATCGAAGTTGCGGTGCGGACCGAGACCCCGATGGCCGTCGACTGTGTTTTAGCTAATCGGTGGCTGGGGGCGGTGAGAACCGCCCTGGAACGCGGGTGTACCTTGTGTACGCGTTGTGATGGTCTCGCCGTGCTCGGAGGCGAGGGCCAACTATTGTGTTTGTTGTTACACTAGCTGTGGGTGTAGTGTTATCCGGCGGGACCGCCGGCGGTGGGTCCAACGTATCTAAGACCCCTTCCTCGACCGGATCGATTAGGACGTTTCGCGGGCGACGCTTATTGACGTTCGCGTTTGTGTCGGGTTGGTAATTTGCTGCGCTTACCACCAGAGGGTTGGGATGATGTTCGGCTCTATCGAAGAACCGTTTGGTCAGGCCTTTAAAATATTCGCGAATCGTCGGGAGTCTGCAATCGCTGTGCAGATCGACGTTGCGTTGGTACCACTGTGCACCGGTTGCACGGCGGATGAACTTATTTTGTACTATTTGCAGCTTGTACAAGCGAGTAGGGTGCGTGTGGGCGAAGGTCATGCATGCGTAGGACATAATAGGTCGTACGCAGATCTTATATAATAATAATTTGTGCCTTAAGGGCATTTTACTTTTAGCGTTAGTTAAATTGTGTAGCCGGCCGGAGACAAACGCGGCTCTATTGCGAACGTTATTAATGTGTGTAGTAAATGACATACGCGAGTCGAAAGTGACTCCCTAAGTATTTGAACTTTTTCTCCCAGTGGAGCGGTTGGACATAAAGGGATATTTGCCCCAACCTTCTGCATTGACGAGGGTCATTATAAAGATGTGACGGGTAAGTACTTCGTGTGAAGTGAATCGCCACACTCTTTTCGGGATTTATTTCTATTCTCCATTTGCGGAACCAATCGCCGAGGCGGTCGGCGGCGCTTTGGATTCGAGTGGTTTGTTGTCTAAGGTTGCGGTCTGAAGAAAAGAGCGCCGTGTCATCCGCGAAAAGCGCGAGATTGACGTGGGGGTCTTTAGGTATATCGCTCGTGTAGAGCGTGAAGAGCAAAGGAGGAGCCTTGTGGTACGCCGGCCGTGAGGCGGCGGCTTGTGGAGAGGGTGCCTTCAACTCGATATCGAAAAGAGCGGTTCGACAGGAAGGCCCGGATGGTGTGTACGAGCCTATCTGGCACTTTGAGTGTGTGCAGCTTGTAAAGCAAGCCGTTGTGCCAGACCTTGTCGAATGCCTTTGCGACATCGAAGAAAATAGCCCCCGTGCTAATATGTTTCGGATGATTTAAGCCTTTCAGGATGTGTTCCGTTAGGCGGTATAATTGGTCGGGACAGGAATGTCTAGCTCGAAAGCCGAATTGTTCCGCCGGCAGAAGGCCGTTGGAAAATACGTGCTCTTTGAGCTCTTGAAGCTCTATGAGCGGCTAATAATAGCCGCTCATAGAGCTTCCCCAGGCAACTGAGGAGGCTGATGGGACGATAACTTGAGGGCTGATTGGCTGGTTTATTCGGTTTGCGAATGCTGATAACAGTGGCTTCTTTCCAGTCGTCCGGAAAGGAGCAACTGGAGAGTAAGGTGTTGTAAATGATCGCCAGTAAACAGATAAGCGGCCCAGGGAGAGCTTTAAGAATTTTATTACTAATATTGTCTGGGCTCGGGGTGGATTTGGGTTTTAAATTTTTGATAATGTCTTGGACCTCTTCGGGGGGCGCCGGCGTTCTGGCCCAGTTTGCACAGGACGGGCCTGTGATCTGAATCTAGTTCATGGATTGTCTCTATCGACTCGATGATGAGCGAGACCTCCTTTAATAACATGATATCTAGGATACTCGGTGTCGCGTGTTGGTATTTGTCCACCGTAGGATACCTAGTGGGAGTCGCAGGAGCGATTATGCTAAAGTTTAAATTATCGGATAAGCTAAAGAGATGCTTTCCGTTGTTATTTGGGATGCTGTGGATGTCCCATGAACCGTGTTTGCAGTTTAGATCTCCTGCAATTATCACGGAAGGGCCTAAGTTGAGAAGCGTAACTAGGTCGCTTTGTAATAAGGTTTTGTTCCCCGAGATGTAGGCTGAGACTAGTACAAGCGGCCTATGGCCGGTGAGCGCTAACCTACACGCGGATGCCTCTATATGACTTAGCTCTGGAATGTCGAGTGGGCTGCAGTGCAAGGACCGTTTATAATAAATTAGAGTGCCTCCCAGACGGTCTGCTAACCGATCGTGGCGGACTATGTTGTAGTTTGCGATTCTGGGATCGCGTACGCTAGGTTTTAAGAATGTCTCTTGCACTAGAAAAATATCTACATTATAATCGCGGAGGAATTCCGAGATTTCGTCCCTTTGACCCTTATTGCCATTTGCGTTGAAATACGAAACAACCAGAGCCCGAGGTTTTGATCTACCTGCAGTTGTACTTTCTATAAAAGTTTTTTATAGTTTCTAATTAACGACGCGGCGGAGCGCGGTTTTATTGCGCGGACTATAAAGTTTACGGCTGGCTTGTAAACGCCCATAAGGCGTCTACAAGTGTTTTTTGGTCGTGAATAGCTGTGAGACGTTCGAGGCCAGATGTGGCGGCCGATAATTTATTGGACAATACGGCGAGCTCTTGTCTATTTATGCGGTCTAATAAGCCGCAGATGTTTGCAATTTGGTCGAACGGGTCGTCATTGTTTCCGGTGAATACCGGTGGTGTTGACTGCACCTGTGGCCTCGGCGCCTGTTGAACGGCGGGCTGTGATTGGGCTAACGTTGGTCGTGAGGCGACCTGTGGCGCAACTACCTGCGCGACTACCTGGGGTTTCGCCCAGGCGTTTATGACGGGTGCAGGTGTGGGAATGAATTTCGCAGGCGTGGATTTAGGTAACGTTGATTTCGCGGGAGCTTTTCTCGCGGGAGTTTTAGGGGCCTTAGCGCAGCCCCTGTAGCTAGCCGGGTGGCCGGTGGTATGACAATTGACGCAGTCCGGTGGATCTGCGCAATCTTCCAGCCGCGTACAGTCGGGCGTGCCGTGGTCACCGGTGCATTTGACACACCTAGGGTGAGCGAAGCAATTATTAGCCGTGTGGCCATAATGCTGGCAGTTGTGGCACTGCGCCACAACTCCTGACCTACGCGGGGGCTCGATCACGAGGTCGCTGAGCCCACAGACCCTCTTTAGGTTGAAGATGGCCATCTTACCTTCCGGGGTAGGGTCAAGTTCAACCATCACCATGTCCATAGGGACATGGGTTCTGGGGTGCCTGAGGCGTCGTACGGTATGCACAGGGTATCCCTGAGTGCGGATGTCGGTCTTCGCCTTGTCGACATCCGACTCTTTGGGGATGCCCTTGATTACTACCCGAAGTTTTCTTTCTTCAGGCAACGAGTAGGTGTGGAAACCTATCTTGTTTTCGCGCAAATACTTCGTTACGCGGCGGAAGTCGTCCGCAGTGTCAAGGTATACACGGATACCCATATGCGTGTTTTTCGACCGAGGGTCGCGGATATTGTGGCGTTCAAACCACGAACAAATTTGGTGCCACTTAGCCTTCTCCTGAATGATGATGGGTGGAGGAGGCTTTATTTTTCGCTCGGAGGCGAATTCGGGCGTCGGTTTAACCGCCGCGCCCGCCTTTTTAGCGGTGGGACGGGTCGTTGAGGCGGCCTCGCATTCGGGGTCGCTGTCGGTAGCAGGGCGTTTCATGCCCTTTTTACGCG